AAATAAATGATATAAATTATCGAATTAGTTATTTATAGTTTATATTCTATGTGGAAAATAAACTCTCGCCGGTCCAAAAGTCCAAAAGACTAGGGGAATTCGTATGGTCTCTATCTGCTCGTAGTTTTTTTTTATTTCTTCTAACGATGTAACCGAGAGGACAACGCGTGACCATCATATAATACGTTTTTGAGATTTATCATAATAAATTATGATAAAGAATAAAGAAAACGTAATTTTCCCCTGTGCAGATTCGACCCGCGAACCTTATGAAAATGATCCAATAATATACCTGTGTTGGCTGTATTATAGTGCCTATATTAAAGCCGCAGTGTGTAATAATAGCTATATAGCCAGGCGACAATAAACGACGACGGCTGCTGACAATAATAATAATACCCGCAACGATTAGCCGTGTCGGACCGAACAATCGCCAAGGTCTTTGAGTTTTATTTTGATTTTTTTTAATAGGTTTCCGTCGGTAAAATAAAAATCGTGTACGAGTACCCGTAGGCATACCTACCTATATATATATATATATATTCGTATACCACGAAACAATCAAACGAGACAAAACCGCATTGATACCATTGATACCTGTTTATGTTACATTATGGATGCAGCGTGTTACACTTATAAATACAAATCTGTGAGCCAACAGAGAGTATAGAATATAGAGATGGTAGGTAATATTTCCGAACGCGACCGTATCTTGTACGTATTGCATCTCTCTTGTACACGTTTTTACTCTTTTACCAAGATGTGCCCCTCCCCCCTCCAGTAAACGTTTTTGGTAAAAAAAAAACTCCCTACATGCAACACCTTCCAAACTTCTCACCTACAACAATGGCCACTGGCCCACTAAAACCAATGTTTTACGAAATAAGTCCGGGTTTTTTTTAACTGGTTAAATATATTACTATAAATTCGTGTTTGTTTTAGAATATCCGTCGGCTTGAGTACCTATTATACCTACCTGACTCGAGTGAGCACGCTGAAAAAAAGTTAATAAATACAAAAATCAACTAACAACTTAAAAAGTAACGCGTGACAATAAGTTACAAGATCGCTTGTATTACCCGCATTATATTTCTCGACGGTTATAACATTATAGTACCGCCTATACGGACGATATGTAAGTAACCAACAGCTTTTAAAGTCATAAAAACCAAAGGTGTAACCCGAAAGATTATACAAAGTTAGACATCTCGTTTTTAAAACTATACGCCTGCCATGCTGCCCAGCTTTACGTGTAGGTACGTATATAATGGAAATTAATTTACGGCCGCGTGTGTCAATCCGCATCGCGCGCGCGGAATAGTAATATAACTTTAGACGCACGCGTGTAATTTTATGTAGGTATCGTATACCGAATCGTATATGCGTATAAAACATGCATATAAAAAAAAAAAAACCATACACATAATATTATGTATTATTGCACGCGCAACTCATTTTCGGGCAGAAAAACCATCCCGCGCGAACCTAACCTGTATAAATTATCCGCAGACATATAGTACGCACGCCTGGCTATCTGGAAAGTGGGCCAATCGTTCCGATCATAAAACCGTTTAAACGCCGTAACTGCCGCACTACTCGGTATACACTGTATAATAATATGTCGGTTAGGTAAATAATACGCGTATATCGTAGTAAAAAAATAATAATAATAACAACAAATACATATAGGTACATGCGAAAATGTTCCGCCGGAGAAAGAATTGTGCAAATAATTAATTAACTGCCGACACAACTCGACTGCAAAAGCCGGATTATAGGTCAGCTGCAACAATATCATACAGCGGTAATGTGCACTGTAATCGCGTAAACGGTTCGTGTACACGTATTTCGTCGGTGACGGAGGATCGGAAGCAGCGGTGTAATGTAAACTAGGTATTCGGCAACTATTAATCGTGGTCCTCGGAGGCCGTTGTAAGGGGATAGGAAACGGGGCATTAGCCCCCGGGGCGCCCGGCTCAATATAAAACACGATATAAAATTAACAATGTATAATTTTATATTATTGCTAATGTATCTAGATAAAAAAAACCCAGGATTAAGAAAGAATATCTTTGACAGGGGTAAAGTGTTAAAATATGATACAAATTAAATATAATTGTAAAAAAGAAAACAACGCATTTAGAGGAATTATCCTCTAAAACAACCCCGTAAATAAGACCTTAAGAAGGGGTGCTTAAAATTGACACCCCTGGACACCAAATGGCTAAACCAATGGTCTTTGTATTACCTGCAATCATATAATTGAAAAAAAAAAAAGTAAGTATCAAATTATAAATGCGTACAGTGGCGTAAATTGGATGGTACAAATGTAGTAAAGAACGGTTATATATTTTTTTTTTTATTATAGCAGAAAATCATAAAAATTCTACATTTATAATTTCTATTTTATTTATCAAACAATTATATGTAATGTGTACAATTGTAATTGGCCGTATTTCTTTTTTCTTTTTTTTTAATACCATTTACGTCTCAATAATATGATAATATCTTATCAAGCGTCTTTAGAACCCGCGAAACTATATCCAAATGACGCTGAGAAATTGAAACAAATTATTATTTAACAACAAAAAATACCCGATGGCACTGCAGTTCAGCGCACTGCTAAACGAAATTATGGAAATGTTGAATAGAAAAAAAAAGAACTGATACTGGGGATGGGTGAAGCCACTGTAGTAGGTGAGAAGTTGGGAAAGTAGGATACATAAGGTTATTTCATTTATGTATGTTAGCAACGATAAACTATTGCTTGACGAAAAACGATTCCCAGCGTAGTTCGGTAATGCATAATTTGAAGTACCGTAATTTTTTTTTAAATTTGATTTCAAAACTCTTATTAAAAAAAAAAGTCGTCCAATGATTTTGGAAATTTTACCACGTCTAGGTAAAATTAAAATTCTTTAAAAACTTAAAAGTAGCTCAACATTTTTTGATTGAATCATTTTTTTTGGTAGAAAACGTCATCCATGTTTTTATAAAATAATGAAGTCGTGAAATTGTATGTTTTCCTACGTTTTTTCTCACTTAAGTGCTTTTATTTTCAAAATTTTTCTTTATTTACCATTAAAAAACAACTTAAGCTTTCAGAAAAGTTACTACAAGTAAAAATCGAAGCAAGTTTACTAGAAAAAAACGTGTCCACAGACTAGAACAAAGAACAAAAAACAAAACAAAAATAAACAGCATTGTAAAACCAATAGCTCTCTCACTACGCTCGGAATCTAAAAAGTAGAATGTTTAACGGGCAACGGAGAATCTTTCACGGTGTACGCCAATAACGGCTGTATCATCGCGTTTGGAACAGAGCAGTCGAAAATGCACAGAATACGAAAACACACGAGCTTTTACTTTTATAAGACAATTACTTGATACCGAAAAGGCGCAGAAAATATTGGACTTATTCGCATAAGAAAATTCGTCGATTATGGGTAAACCTACTTAGCTAAAATTATGTACCTATACATAACAGGTATGCGCGGCCTTTTAATTTATCGTTACCATGAAACCGTTCAGGAAATAATAATTTTATTAATAATCAATTATTGTTTTATTGTATAATTAGCTGTTCAAAAAGAGAGCAGACCGATATTCAAGTTTTTTGAGATAGACCTTCATAGCGGATATCCCGCTATGCTGTCAAATTACGACTCACTTTCATACTGAGTCTAATTGACTATTACTAAAATTTATAATTATGCAAATATTTATTAGAAACTATATCTTACACGATTTAGAATGCTGGGCGGCATAAAACAAAATAGAGCAAAGAATGAGTCTATTAGAGATGAGAATGATTAGATGGATGAGTGGAGTGTCTGGAGAAGATAGAAGACGTGTAAAATTATAAGAGGTAGCATAGATGTGAATTTTTAAAAGTAGAAAAATGAAAGAAAATAGACCGAGTTGGTTTGGAGATGTAATGTGAATGGTAATGGTAAAAAAACAACGTAGTAGGAGGAAAGAGCGGAGGAAGACTAAAATACAAACAAGTGATTGGATGCGATTGAGAATAACACGTGGACACTCAAGGACAGCCAGTCCTTGAATGTTCTCGTATTATGAGAGATGGTTGATCGGGGGCAATAATGGAAGTTTAGGATGAGTGTGGTCGACCACAAATAGTTGAGATAAAGGCGAAGAAGAAAAAAATATTAGTTAGAAACAAAGTAGGTTAGGTAAATTAATTTAAAACAACAAAAATAGATTACCGAAATAAAATTTCAAAACTACCTATGCCAGTAAAAAGTTACCTATTTTTTACGTTGACACATAAACATTGAGCAATATGTAGGTGTAATAATATATTATTGACAGTTAAATAAAACTATTCGACATATTTAGTAGAAATTATCGAGTATTAAAATAACTCATGACTAGGCAAAAGGAATAATGTTCTGTAAAACAAATCGACATATTATATAAATTATAAATCAATCAATCAAAACGTACAGTGATTACAGCGATATTTTTTTTAAATACTTGGACAATTTCAAAATGATATTCTGTCCCTGTACAATTTCGTTATTACTAATTACAGATGTCGATTTTCCTAAACTAACCTAACCTAACCGAACTAAAGTGTCCGGTTTGATTCGAACATCCAAATGAAAATTGCTAATAATCGGACCGAACCAAATACCTAATAGTTCGGTTCGAAAATGCGGATTCTGCGAGGTTACCAATACGATAGTTTGTGGTGGGACAGAGCGGCTTTGTTATGAAAAAGAAAAATCTGATTTTTTTCAGACATAACATTATTATTTTACAGTCCTTTAATGTTCGAGTTCGATAAAATATTTTACGATTTATTCGTATACCACCAATAAAGTAACAGGTAACATTGGTAACCGGTGTTACCTACTTTACTTGGAAATGTGACCTAACCACCAAAGACAAACGAAACCGTTTATTATTGTTTAGTTAATATTTTTCGATCGATTCAATTCGCATAAACACGATATTAATGTGAAAAAAAAAAAACATTTTTCTGTGTAAACATAATATTGTTGAGATATCATATAAAAGTATATTAATAATATACAATGAATATATTTTATATATATATAATATAAAAAAAAAATACATACAAATAAATAATAATAAACAACGTAAATTAATATAATAGAAATATTAACGAAATACTACTTAGCAAAGAAAGAAAAAAAAATATTACACGTATTTTTTAGGAATCGTAAAAATATAAATATAATATTTTTATGTAAAGAATGTAGTTAGTATTCAGTCGATAAATTTCTCATTGAGTCTTGTATTTTATCTTGTTGGCCAATTTTTTTTTTATTTACTTAACTTTAGTCGCAAGGTCAAATATAAAGTAATTTAATAATTATATAAAAATATGTATGCAATAAGAAAAACTGAACTTCAAGTTATTTTTTTTTTTACATACTGTTCAGAAAAAAACACTGTTGAGCTCGTACGTCGTTATAGAAACAAAAAAAAAAAATACATATATTTTTTTTTTATAGATTTAGGAACTCAAAACAAGAGATCGGGTGTGGTTTCTTCACTCCACGGCACGTTCGTGTCGATCACTGGGGTTTCGTCTTTTTCGACCGAGCGTTTCGCGGTTTTTACAATGTTACTTCTACTCACACCGTATTCGCCGAGAAAAGCTTCTTCGTTCGTGCCCAATTTACTCGGAATGTAATTACCAAAGGTACCTGAAACGAGACGACGAATTTCAATTATTAACGGCCAAATTTGTATTTCCGAAGCGAGACAAACGCACAATAACAAACGAAACCGGAACGACGAACGAACACGTTTGTTTTTTTTTTTTTTTTTTTTAGTACACGAGTATCTATGTACCTATTATTGTTTTCGTCGTACAGAAAAAAAAAAAAAAAAACTACATCGGTTGATTAATTTTCGTATTATATTGTAACGACCAGTCCCGACGAAACGAGTCTTTGACTTTATCGTGTAGTACTCGACTCGAGGGAAAACGGCAAACGTTTCGCCGTTTGCGCAAACGTCGAAATATTCTGCGAGTCGATGGCGGCCAGGTGCCGAAATATTTATTAACCCTCCGGGGTACACGTGGGCCCCGAGCCTCCGAAAATCGCATTGACTCCGCGACGTTGCCCCGCCTCTGAAATACCGGAACCCGCGCCCGACCCGTTACGCGCGCTGGTAAAAATCGTACCGCGCCCGCGGCATCCGAGGAATCCCCGACGGGCCGTCCATTCGACATCGACCTTGCAGGATTTCTCCGGTTTTCGCGGTCCGCGACGCGTGTACGAACGACCCCGGAGTGCGCGACCTCCTGCCCCCGTCCCCGTCCCCTAATTATTAATAGCGTTCGGCCACGGGACGCGCGAATTTCTCCGCGTTTTCCACGGGGCGGCGGAACACGCGCGTGTGCCGCCCGCGTTTCTTTTGCGTTTTCGCAACGTCGCGACGGTACCGAACGTTCGGACCGTCCGAGAAACTCGATAAAAACAAGCGAATTATTGTTGTTTTTGTATTTTTTTTTAATTTTTAATTTTTTTCTTTATCTCCGGCACACAGAAAAGTAAACGTCCGCTAATTATTATCGTTTCGGTCCGACGGACACGCGGAACTGTACGACACGGGCGGACGTCGTGACGGAATTTTTTTTTTTTTTTATTATTATTATTATTACGCTGCACACGAGTAGGTGCACTCAATGCCTGTGTACAGTAAAAACGAGAACGGTCGCGAGTCGAAAACTGCACGGACGCGAACCGGGATATTTTTTGAGATATTGTAATTTCCGCGTTTGAACCTTGACCGCCACGCGAAAGTAGTAACCGATTCCGCGACCTACTTCTATGTAATTGTATAACGTCGATGATATACACAGTTCGCGCCGTATTTTATTATCGGGGTTTTTTTTTTTTTTTATTATTATTATTATTATTATTATTGTTGTTGTTTTTTTTTTTTTTATCGATAAAACGCGCAAACGGCGGAATATGTTCGTTCGTTCTCGGCAACGCAAATCAAACGCGTCGCATACAAAAACCGCCGCCGCCGCCGACGTGTCGGTCCGCGTTCTGCGCGGTATTTACCGCGAATCAAAAGCGCATTGTTTTAACGATAAGACGCGTTCGGAATTGTAATTTTAAATAATAACAACGGCAACAACCGCGGCCGGGCATTATTTACTTTTTGGCGACGCGGCCGCCGTCGAGTCTTCTTCGTGTCTCGTCGAATCGTCTTCGACCTGCTGCAACAACAGCGACGCTTCGGACGGATATTCGTGCGTCGTTTCCAGTACCTCGGAGAATTTTATGCGTAAGTCCTGTATAGGGGGCGGGAAAAAAAAAAAAAAATGATAACAAAATTAGAGAAAAAAAATAATACGCCCTAGGACGATGGGGACGGGGGGGGGGGGGGGGGGGTTGCAGCCACTGTTATAAGTACATACGTATGTAGACAGTTTAACGTACACCTGTAAGCAACGATAAACCGTTGTTTACGGGAAAAAAAAACGATTCTGAGCGGAGTTCAGTTGACATACCGACGCATTGTCAACAAGATCCGTGCCGTTTCGTAGGGAAGTAATTAAATAGGGCAATTTCTTCGACACCGTTCGTTCAGCGCCGTGTGCCGATTTTCCCAGTTTTCCTACGTTTTTCCCGCGGTTTATCCCGGCCCGACGCATTCGCCGGGAAAATCGCAAAACGACCACACCGCCGTCGGCGAAAATAACGAAATTATTACCGGTGCCGCGGATGACCTTAAAAACTCGGCGAGCTCGTGCGTTCCCGGTACGGTCTAACGGGACGGCGAGCGCCCGTCACCGGCGGACTATTGCCGGCGCAATGACCCCCCGCACGCCGGTCTCGTGACCTTCGGAGGCCATTATATTTATCACGCGCCCGTCATAACGTCACGACATCGTTCGATATTGCTGCCGGTCGTTTCACAGGCGAAACGCGGACGCGGCGATGTGGACGTTTCGCGATTTTCGACCGACGCACCCGCGTCGCGGACCCCGGTCCCTCGCCGTTCGCCGTCCCTTTCCGACGTCGCGTACCGCGACGCGCGCGTGTTCTCTCGGCCGCACCGCTACCCGGCAGCGCGGCGGTTCACCCGAAACGGCGACCGGACGGCGGCCGCGCGCGTTATCGTTACGCGCGCGCGGTCGCACGGGTCGGGAGGGGGCGCCGCGTCGGAATCTCCGGCGAAACGACCGCGGCGGCCGCTTTTCCGCGCGGTTTCGCGACGGCACGGGTACGGCGAAATGATAATAATACTGACGTGCTTTGCACCGTCGCGGCATTCCGGGGATCACGACGATCGTCAACGGCGATGTCCGATCCGGGCCGCCGGTTTTAGATTCGTAGCGACGGGGGGGGGNGGGGGGGGGGGGGCGGTTCGGCGTTGCGATTGGTGGCTTTTGTTGTTTTTTATTTTTTTTCATTCGCGCGTTTGCAAACGACGCGGTCTACCGGAAACCTCGGCCGTCGGCTAGGGTACAAGCGAGCCGTGCGTTGCTTCGGGGCGGCGTGAGATTTCAATCAAACCGACGCGGCGAAACGGAATTTATTTATCATCAAAAACGACCGGCACCGAAACGTTCGCTTTGGGGCGGAAAATATCTTGCGGCGGACCCGATCCGGGGCAGCGCGCGCTTTTGCAGAAAAAAAATGTCATCTATTCGGGGCATTAGACATGGCATTTAATTGCTTTCCCTAGGGGTTTTCAAAATGATCGGGAATACCAAGAATTATGGGCGAAACGGCGATTATTTACGGAGCGCCGCGGCGTTTTACCGATTTCGTTGTCGCACCCTCCCCATCCCCCCCTCACGGGTTGAGAAACACTGATCCAGCAGAAATATTGCCCCAATAGAGAAATGGCAATAGACTATTTTTGTTTGCATTTTTAACGTGGATGGCGAGTAAGAGAGTCGGTTTTTTGATTTTTTTTTTTTTTTTTTTGTTATTATCCAGTTAAAAATATTCGTAGAGATTTGAAATTTTGTCAGAAATTTATATTTATTTTTTTTGGACGTAGTTAAATTTTAAAAACATTCGTGTTATTTTTGCGCTATTTTAAAATATTGTAATATTACGAGTTTTTGTATGTTATTTTTATTGGGTAATGAGGTACTCACTCTGTGAATAAAATTGTTAGACTAAACAGAAATACTTGAAAATTTGACAGGAAGTTCATTATACTTCGTACTTAGTTAGTGGTGAAAAAAAAAAATCTGAATGTTATATAGTATTTTTTTTTCAATAGATTTTGATCAAAATCGTAAATATTACGGCCCTTCAAAACATGTATAACTGAACTTCGCGACGAATCGTTTTTCATTAACAATGTTTTATCACTGCGTACTGCGTAATTAAACAACTATATGTCCTACCTTCCCAACTTCCCACCTACAACAGTGGCGCGTTAATACTCAGCTATTTTATTTTTTTAAACTTCACACACATACACATAGGACTTGAATTTTGAAAATTATATTTGTAATTGCTGTAATTATAGTTTAAATATGATCAATTTTCACAACTTTTTTATAGTTTTTAATTACATAACCAAAATATGTAGCCTAATTTGCACCCTGTATGATGTTTTGTTCTTTATAACAGTGCTAGTGTTCCTGTTGAACAATATGATCGTAATTGGATCTCTATAAGAAGCGTTCATTTTTCCAGTGATGGATATTTTGAAAAAAAAAAACAGTTCAGGGGCAGAACGCTTAATATTAAAAATAAAATCTACTGAACAAATTTTTTCAATTATAAATGCTAACAATTTATAAGAAAGTTAAAAAAAAAGCCCACTTTGCAGGCAATATTCCCAGTCTCTAGATGTATTTTAAACAATGAATTATAATTTGAAAGGATTTTGTTATCTAGTAGGTACGTGCTTATGAGTGAAAACCTAAATAAATCAGTTAGTAAAAATAATTTACTGGAATAACATCTTGGCAATTATTCTTTTTCATATTCAAATATTAACTTGTTGAATCAATAATAATGATAAAATATTCCTAATTGCAAAAACATACAAACATTATAGTTTTTCCAGTAAAAATGATTTTAATAAAAGTGGTTTTTTTTTTTTAAATTTAAAAAAACTTCAGAAGTCTGTAGAATATTAATTGTGCAAATTTTAACACTTTACATTGAAAATAACGTTTACGTTCGGAATAATATAAAAATAATATAATTTAATGAACTACTATGAAAAGCTTTTTGAAACAGAAAAGATTGTATTGGCGTCATGTTACCCAGTGGCTAATACTTCTCAGCATTCAAGTGTCATTGTGTGAAAGAATGCACACATATTGTATTAATAAAATAAAATAATAATGCCTCAGGCTGTTCCTACAAAGAACCAGCTCAATGACCTATGATGAATGTCTTCGAGTAATAATAATGAAAGACTCGTTTAATCTACCTTTTTATTCTTACCCGTTAATTTATTATCTAACAGTAAAATCAATTAAAATCAATTTTAAATAAAACTCCCGGCATTTATGTAAACCGCTCTAGTTTGAATTTTAAATTAATACAAATTAAGTTATTGAGCAATGCAAAATATTATTTTATAAATTATAATTTAATTTTTTTTTTTTTTTTGTTAATTGGGCGCTTAATTTCTTACTATTAATAAAATGCTTTATAACGTTGGGAAGATAGAGAATGTAAGTACACAAATTTAAAATTGATATTTTAGTTTTATGTTTACTCTTTAGGTAAATAATTGTTATTAGTAATGATGATATTGTAACTATGGTGTCCATAGTTTTAATATTTTAACATAAAACTAGATAAATATTATCTAACGTCACCCTCTTAAACGCAGATATATTTTAAAATAGTCAAAGGTAAAAGTAGCAAAAAAAATTATGCCTACGAAAAAAAATCTGATAAAACTGATAATTTTTTTTTACAACAAAAAAAGAATATGATATAAGTATTGGTAATTTAACTATTGGTTTGAGTATGTACTCAAAAAGTACAAATTAAATGATTAAATTGAATTGCGTAATATCTATAAGAAAAAAACTGATGTATAATTTACTTTTTTCGAGGTTGCTGTGTTTTCTTTGCGAAGATTTGAACGGCCAATAATAATATTGTCGCCCACAAAAATAACATAGTTATCACTATTTACATTGTCAAGGTCATCAGTACTCGATTCTTCACAATGTGCATCCAACATGATACAACCATCTTTGACTCCCTAAAACCATTGATAAGAAAAATAAAAACCAAAATAAACAAATTTCTAAATGATAATTTGTATATTACATAAGAATTGTCTCTCCTTGGCATTGGACTTTCACTGTCAATGTAATTTGGTACTCCTTTTCTATTAACAAAATTAAAAACTACACTGTTTTCATGGTTATCCCATCGTTTTTTATCCCACAGGCCTCCTATTTTTTTTTCACCACTGGTATTATTGACATTGTTGGTATTATTGGTATTATTATTATTATTATTATTTATAAAGTTCTTTTCTATTTCTTTATCAGATAATTGAGCATTTGTGGTTTCTTCTGGTTGTAAAGTAGTTCTGGTCGTTGGTCTGATAACACAAATCTGTTTGGTTTGTATTGGTACTGATTTATTATTATCACTAATGGTCGCAGTCGCAGTAATGGCAGTTTTAATAGCAACCCTTTGTTTTGCTGGTCCACCATCGTCTGATGACATAGATGATTCATCTTGGCTAGAACTTACTTCATCACTAATCAATGATTTGGAACGATCAAAACCCAATGGTTCTTTCTTTTTTAATCTATAAATTAATAAATAATTTAAATTAATACCTACATATTATTTTTTATTAACACAAATCATGATGTTAATTATATGTCAATAAGTAATAAATAAATATCTTTAATATGAATTTATTTTAATTTGTTATAATACATTCGAGTTGTACAAATATTAAAAATTAATAGACATGTTCACATTTAATTTAAATTGTATTTATTCAGACATTTACTTAATTTCTTTGAAGTAACAATACTTATTATTATAATTGCAAAAATTGTATTTACATTTTTTATGATTATTGTATGGATAATTATATCTCCAAATTGTCCTAATGACTGCGATAATCTGATATTAAAAATAAAAGTTTCAAATTTGTAAAAACCAATAAAACTAGCGACTAGTACAATATTTTTGTTTTTTTAAGCACAAAAATGTATATAAATACCTAGGATAAATGAATATATTATATTATATTTACAAAAGAAATTAAGTAATATTAATTCTCTTTTATAATAGGTAAGTACCGAAATAACATTTTGTTATTATTTCTGAATTAAATTTGTAATTCAATTGCCAACATATTTTATAATTCTTATAAATATTATTTTATTAATTAATAGTGATGACATTGTTGATATATTACCTGTTAAAGCGTAGTGCAGTAGGTAACTAATAAATTTAAAAAAAAAAAAAATGAGGTTATTAGGTTTATTCCAATTAAATGGCCACTTTTACATTTTTGTTTTCAATAAAGCATGAATAGAGTGAGTGTCTTAAAATGTAGGTAGGTCATATCACGCTATATGCCCAAAAAAAAAAATTCTCCAATATTATGAAATACATAAATACCTACTGTATAAATTGTTGAATAATAATTTTAATGTGAGTGGGTACCTACCTAGCAAAATAAAATTGTATTTTATAAAATTAATTTCATAAAAATGTATTATTCTTGTGACCTTACTAAAGCAAAAATTCAAGAAAAACACAGCAATATCATTTAATACGGTAAATTTAGTAAATAGTTGGAAAACAAACAGAATTCATTAATAATTTTGAAGCCCAGTATTCATAATATTTTGTAAACATAATGATAACAAAGATAAAAATCTTAAAAAAAAAAAAACCTCTGCTGGATGTCAGCCGCTAGACAACCAGTTGTTTTTGATTTTTGTAAGGTATTACTGGCAAGTATCTTTAAGAGAACAGTTCCTATTATCAAATTCCAGACTATTCAAAACTTATCAATATGTGATTAATAAAAGTAAACCCATCATACAGCGATTGACTCCGAATCAATGTAATACCATAGTATGCTGTTTAATTCACTAATTCATTATAAAAAGGCACTTTTTTAATTCAGAAATTCATAAACTAATAAATAATAATACAAACGGACACAATAGAGTTGCAATATGAATTATTGGACGATTTTTTTGTACCAAATTTATCAATGGGGAATACAAATTTAGATTAATGAATAGGCAACGATACAGCGCAATAGGCGTGCACGATGAAAACGATCGCAATTATATAGCCTACTCAAATTTGTTTTATGCGCGTACTAATAACCCGGGGAGTATACAAACAACTAAACGAGTTACAATTTTATCAACAAATATTAATCATCTATGTAGGCACTATATAAATTAAATTAAAAACAGACGATGCCGGCGCGTAAACAATTAAATTATGAAAGCGAGTATCCAATTAAAAAAAAAATCATATTCATTCATTCAACCGTCCGTGTAGGCAGGTACCGGCGAGTACGCGCCTAGATGCCTGTATGGTTTTAAAAAATAAATTAAAGCAATTAATACACTTTTGTGCGCCAATTAGACTATAGCGTTTTCGATGTGGTGTAGATTGGATTTGTAAAATAGGTAAATATCAATGTTGTGTAAACGTTGCAAGTCAAACGATTTTTAACGGGCAACAAAGTACTGCGTTAGTTTAAGGCCTTTTGGCAACGGGACCGCGGAAAACGTTAGGCGTTTGAAGAAAAATGATAAAACTCCGCGACGAAAACGAAAAATATAGGTGATAACACCCGACACGGGGTGGGCTATCTGTAAAGTTAATGATTCCGGATAAGAATCCTGGTCGTTACGAATAGGTACCGCGTAACGACCAAACACGAACACGAACGAGTTTTATGAATGAACGGAACGTTGAAATCATTTCACACAATCTACGAACACGGACCGGGTGCAATAACAAATCCGGCGGGTAACTTATATTTTAAAAAAGTAACTAGTACTAGTAAGCGCTGTGACATTGTTATAATGCAATTTTAGAAAAAAACGAGACCCGACGTTAATTGACGGGTAGGGTACCCCCTCCCTCCCCGCCTGATGTCTCGTACGAGATACCCAATTGCAATTAGAATTCAAAACGTATTGATCCGACGGAATGTACGGGCGGTAAACACCGGAATTCAATAGGTTAGCCTACCTGTTCGGATATTTTATCGGCGGCGACATTTTCTTCGGCGGCACTTTGTTCATTCTCGCCGGACGCGTTTTCTCCGGACTCAGCACGGGCTTGGGTAGTATGGCTGGTTTGATCTTGACGGGTTTTACGATTTCGCCCTGCGTTTTCGTTTCAAATATTTTCTTATACGTTTTGACGACGTCGGGCGGCGGCAACTCGCCGTTCGCCGTTTTCGGCTGCGGCAGTTCGTCGTCCTTGTAACCGTTATTGATGTTGACGATCGTACTGTGATGCGGATCGGACAACGTCTCCATGGAACGGGCACGTTTCATCGTCTCGCTTTTAACCGCGGACGCCATGCTTATTACGTCCGGCTGCGAATAATGCTTGTTGCTGGGTTTGTCCAGCAGTTTGTGCTCCTCGACAATGTTGTCCATGCTGGTGGACCGGCGCAACGGCGGCCTGGGTTTTTGTTCGCGGACCGTCATGCTCATGTACTTCGACTTGAGTTTGTTGACGATGCCCGGCCCGTATTTGAACTCCTCGCTCGAGTCGGAACGGTAGTCCAGGCCGTTGGTGATTTCGGTGATGATTTGCGGTTTGGTTTTGAATTTTGATCGGCAACGGTTGATCTGCGGATTTTTTTTAAAATTGGTCATGATGGTGGCCTCGCACTTGAACAGCCTCATGTTTGAACACACGGTGCCGACTACGACTGTAGTGGGCTGCTGCTGCTGCTGTTTCTGCTGCTGCTGCTGCTGATGCTGATGATGATGCTGCTGCTGCTGCTTCTGCTGAGGAGGAGGAGGAGGAGGAGAAGAAGGAGGCGACGGCGGCGACGTTGTCCGAGTCGCGTTCGGCTGTTGCTGCTGGAGAAAGTGCTGAGTGGAAGGGGACCAAGTCCATTGAACCGGTTTTACCTGTAGTTGTTCGTTATTGTCGCCGCTGCCGGCGCACTTTGACGACTGACTCGAGTTGTTTCTCGTCCGTCTCCTGTTGATCAGCTCCAGTTTCCAAGTCGGCACCACTTTGGGGTCCACGCACGTATCCATCTCGTATTCGCCGCTCCGGGACTTTGGCCGGTTGCAAAAAAATCGACGATATAGCGTAGAGAAAAAATAAAACAAAAAAAACGCAAAATAATAACGTTCATCAACGCGCGTACCACGACGAAACCGTGCGCGAAACTTCCGCGGGACTATCGATCGGTTGCGAAGTCGGGTCGGTGAGATGAGAAAAAAAAAAAAACAAACAAAAAATCCGCGGCACTCGACGGGAATAATAAAACCGAATGGCGACCGTTATCAGAGCGGGCCGCCGCGGAAAAAACAAAACAAACGTCGGTGAACGGCCGCGGTTTTCACGTCGTCGTCGCGCGGCCGAGCGACGGGTACGTCCGCAGCGCTCATAATAACGACGATGACGGCGATAACGAAAATCGATCGCGCGGTCGACGGTTACCGACGCGTCCGGATCCGACGACAAAACCCAGAGACGGTTACCGGGGTGTCGGCGCGCGATAGCGAATTTTATTTACACCGTACACCGACAGTAGCGCAGCAACAATAACAACAACAACGAAAAACGGAAATAATGTTATAAACGCGGGGCCGACGGCGGGCAAACGAAACCGGTGTGATAACGAGGGACGGCGACCGAGAGGGAGAAAACGAAACGAAATAGATAAAAACACGGCGGCGGCGTCGCGCGCTCGCGCACTCCACGATAATAATAACCGCGGGCGGTGTGCCTCGCGAACGGCGGTCCGATACCGCGCCGCGCGCCCGTTCTAGCGCGTGCGTATATTGGCGACCGCGCGCCGCGCGGGGCTCGTCCGCCCCCCGCCGGTACAGGTTGGGCCTACGCGCGCACGCACGCCTTGTTACTGCCGACCGGCCGCCTGCGACCGTACCGCCGCTAATGATCGGTACGCCGCCGTTTTACTGCTACCACCGCGATAGTTTTTTTTTTTTTTACAGCGAAAAATAATAAAAAATATATACTACTACCACCGCGATTCTGCCGCTGCTGCTACTACTACCACTACTGCTACTACTACTACTACCACCACTACCGCCGCCGCCGCGGCGACACGGCTCGCGGAGCCCGGTACCGTTACGCGGCACGGGCGTCCGCGTTATAACGCGTAATGTTATATTATTAATTAAAGCGATTCGGTTTTACGTGCTGTTCCTAATACGAGGCGCGGTTTTTTTTTTTATTTATTTTTTTTTCCGTTTTCGTTCCGTACCGGCCCCCGCCACCCCCGCCCCATCCGCGCGCCAGTCACGCCATGCCGAATATCCGTTCGACTCGCGTGAAACACACGCGCCGCGCGCCGACCTGCCTACGCGTACCCGCGCGGGTATTATTGCTGTCGGGCCGTTCGTTTTGTTTCGGTTTTTCCTCCTCGCCCCCTCCGCCGCGATGTCGGTCCCGTACAGGTAAGCGTACCCGCCCGCCCGCCTACCCGCCCGTCGTCGTCGGCGTTATTATTGTTGCGGCCGCGCCGCGCCCGCCGTCCCGCCGTCCGCCAGACCCCCCCCCGCCGGCCGATGGTACGCACGGTAACGAAACACGCACGCACAATGGGTACGCCGAACAATATTATTGTTATTACAGGTACCCGTAGTGCGTGTGACACGTACCCATCGCACGTATAGCGAACAATGACGCGTATCCGACGTCGACGACAACGGTGACGGACGTCGCGCAGTAGCTCGCCGCGCACGAATGTGTCGCGTTACAGCTCGGCGTACGCGCGGCCACGGCGGGACGGCGCGCCGGCACGTCCGCGCGCGGCCGTCCGGACGAGTTGCGGGCGCGGAATAAAAATGACCGAGACGGCCGCCGTTTAAGACGGGGAACAGCGCGTGAGATTAGGGCGATAGGTGTATACCTCTACTCCTTGAACTCTGTTGGTTGTTTTTTTTTTCTGCCGCCCGTTATCTATTAGAATACCGGTATAATTGCGACGCCATAGCTGACCCGGCGATCACCCTGGGCTATATTTGCCAGATAACTGCAGCGCAGCGCAAACAACAGTGACGATAATAGCGTTGGTCGCCCGGGCAACCCGCGCATAAACAAAAGTACATCGACACGTACGGTATTAGACAACCGCGTCGTGAATAACCCGAAAACCCGTATTTCACCCGCCTGGGGGTTGAATTTTCGAAAATCCATTCTTAACGGTACCCCCCCGCGTCACACTATAATAGCTACGCGAATGCCGAATTCCAGCCCGATCCGTCCGGTGGTTCGGGCCGCGCGATGATGAATCGGACATGTTGTTTTATGGTATATTATAGATAACTAGCTGTCCCGCGCCCGACGTTGCCCGTGCTAATTTTTTTTATCATTTTTATCTTTATTTCCGTTTTGTTTCGTCCGTATCAGTATATTGAACTAAAAAAAAAAAAAAAAACTGGCGCAAAGTGGATAGTTCACCTTCGGCTGACTAAAAGTGTTCTATTGTGAAATTTCAACAGTATCTAATAGCAATGATAATAATCATAATAGTTTTCTTTTCCGTGACAACCGAATTATCATTCACATCACCAAGGTAACCGTTGAATAAACAAAAATAATTAAATAAGCAATTCGATATTCGTACCTAATATACCTAAAAACCCTCATTTTCAAAAATCCTTTCTTAGCGGATGCCTACGTCATAATAGCATTCGAATTTCAGCCCGATCCGTCCAGTAGTTTGGGCTGTACGATGATGAATCACTCAGCACAAGTTATTTTACGTATACAGCTGAAGATAACATAGTAACATAATTTTGAAATACTTAGTTCACACCTAGCTACAACTGCAAAACCTGATCGCGTATATATTTTCGTTGTTGAAAACGAAACCTATGCGGCGAACCACTTCGATATGAATGACGTTAGATTTTCGCTACCTAACATGAGGCCCCCGAACTTTGTCGATGGCATTGAACGCGAATTTCAAAGCGACGGGCCAAGTCCTATCTGGAAAAATGGGATGGCTGAACGAGGAATCCGGAACGTCTAAACCGGGGCCGGTCCGCGAACCCACGTGCGAATGAATCCGCGGGGGATGATGAATATTTTGCATAACATTGATTTCGATGTTGACCGAAGGTAGCAAGCGAATGCGTATTGTACAAATAAAATGTTTTGTTATTGCGTATAATAAACGATACGGCTGGAGGAGAAGTAATGCCAACGCTGTCCCTCTTCCAGTTCGTGATTTAAACTGAACAAAAAAAAAAAAAAAAAAATATAATAAATTTACTATAACAAGTTCCTGCCTAATAGTCGGTCGGTTTCAATGATAATTTTAAGCGTTTTGAATTACTTATTACTTACAAAAAT